ATATGCTATATATTTCAAAGCACCTATACGAGCAGCAAAGCGTCCATTTTTTCTTTTGAACTCATCTGCTTTTTACGATCAAAGAGAGTTATGCAACCCAATATGTTTTCTTCTTTGCCCTGGTTACCAAGAAGCTCTGAAGTATACATGTTGTGCTCAACCGCTGAAAACTCTCATCCGCCTGGGTTTCTTCATCTGTAACTCCTTTTGTTTTACCTTACCTTTCCATCTTGGCTCTTACCTTTTGCCCATTTTAATGGCTTCAGTTCTTATATATCTGTGCATTTAACTTGGCTCAAAACCTTTTTGAAGTGGGCTGGAATAACATATGTGTGTGTGTGCACACGTGTGTGTGCATGTGATGTATATATTCATATACATATATGTATTGTACACATGTACATTACAGATCATGAATGAACACACACACATATTCCCAATGCTGTCTACATATTCTCCAGACCTCCTCTGCCACGCCTCTCTCTTAGCCCCTGTGCCCTCTCCAGGAGTTTACTTGGTCACACACAAATAAGGGCACCTAGCTCCTTTACAATTCATGAATCCCAGGAAAGAATCTTTTCACATGAAAACATGAGTTGGCAATGTAACACAAGTGCAGATGTTGTGGAGGAGTCTGAAGAAATGTGTTTCTGTTCTTTTCTTCAAAACCCTTCTTTTGTAATCCTGCCTTAAGTTGAGTTTAATTTAATGCTCTAAATCAGGGGTCAGCAAGCTTTTTCAAGAAAAGGCAAACTAGTAATACTTTGGATTTTGTGGGCTATAAGGCCTCTGTTGCAACTATTTGACTCTGCCACTGTAATACAAGCACAGTGATAGGGATGCATCAACAAATGGGCACTCTCGTTTTCAGTAAAACTAAAAATAGGTGACAGGCTGATTTGACCCATGACTGTAGTTTGCCGTGACTCTAAACCTTCCACATTCACCGTGTCTACAGTCACTAGATTCTCTCAGTACAGTGTCACCCTGGCCAATGCCTATGTCCAATCTACTCAAGTTAGCTCCAGCTAAACAGAGGGCTGCCCAGTTACTGGGACCAGATCCTTCCTGAGTGTTTTACTGCTTGAAAATACCCTGGAGGAGTTTGCCCATCTCTCATATATACCAATAGTTTTTAAAAATATGTCTTTCTACCACGTACAGTGATCACCACAAGATAACTTTAGATAAATATTACAAATTGTCTCCATCTGCAATAGTATATTTACACCCTACAGCCATATTTGAGTTTAGAAAGTGGACCCAATCAAGAGACAGAAAAATGAGCGTTCACGTCAACATTCTCCAGTGACATGACCCTGATCGCTAACTTTTCTATGCCTTAGTTTTCTCATCTGCACCATGGATATAGGACTCCAACGCCCAAAGTGCAGAGCTTAGACCCAATGATCCCTTATAGACTCTTTCCAGAATTTAGACAGATTATTTTCCTAAACCAATGATTTCCAAATGGCTTGAGGAATTGCAATTCCCTGGGATATTGTTAAAACAGATTGCTGGACCCCAGCCTGAGTTTCTGATTGAGTAGGTCTAGAGTAGAGCCTAAGCCACCAAGTTCTGCTAGTGTTGGCCCAGGGACCACACCTTGGGTCTGTATGATAGAGAACTTACAGTTCTTTATGTGGGGAAACAATGATGAGGCGGGGTGGGGGGCAATCCTACAGCTGGCTCCTCTTCATCTATCCAAAATGTGGTTCCTTTTTGAAGGGATGAGAGATTAGATCTGTTTGTCCACTGAGTCTCAGATGCTACAGCCACACCTCAGCAACTAACTACAGGCTGAAAAGAGGCTGGTGATGACCCTAGTGGGGCCATGTTGGAACATAAAAGCTAATGGGAAGCCAGCTAAGCCCTGGAGAAGGACAGGGAAATGTGGAACCATCACGAAGTGAGAGACAAATTTCCCATCACATGATTCCTTTGTAGAAGCCAAACTTCTAGAACCTTCTCTTTCCATAAACACAATATCAACACAAGCATTGACTGAGGGTTGATCACACAAAGGTCCAACACCAAATAGTGCAGGGTGGGAGGCAAGAAATCTGGAGAAGACTGCCTTCAAGAACTCTTAGTCTTATGTCGAAGGCAAAAGTCACATGTATTCACACACTTGACAGAGGTCAAAACACGTAGATAATTGCATACAATGTTGTATGGCATGACCATGGAGTGTTCTGAAGAGAGGTTGTTGGCAGGCACCAGAGACTTGGGCAGCCTTCCCCAAGAGATGGAGGCAAGAGGCAGGAGCAGGAAGGCTCTGAAGCAGTGGAAGGGGGAGGAGCCTGGCAAGCTGGTTGGAATATTAGCCGGGAGGGGATGAGAACAAGCACGTGACTTTATTCCTCTCCGTATGAATCCTCTCGACTCATCTCCATCTCTCTGCCTCAGTTTCCTGATTTGAGAAATAAGGGTTTTGAGCTAAATCACAAGTTTACAATTTGGTTCCATTCTGAAGAGACCCCAGGGCATTAAAAGGTAAATGAACATGCTGGGCCCAGCCCTGCCCCCAACCTGCATCAGCCGGAATAGCTCTGCTTTCTTATATTTCTACCCTCCCTGTACAGCTTTGCTTCCAGGAGGGGTTTGAGAGTCATTCTACGAGAAACTCTGTAGAAGCTCTTCTCATCTGTACATTGGGGCAGCCACATGGAAAGGAGAGAGAAGCCAGATAGCACCAGGGATGAGATCACCAGGTTGGCTGGGCTACAGTCTGGAGCTGCTGGGCAGCAAGAAGGGGGTGAGACCAGTGAGGTGGGAGCCAGGGAAGGTCACAAGCTTGCGTGTGGCAGAGAGGCACGGGGACAGCAGCAAGATTGGGCCCACAAGCTGCTGGAGAAGCAAACGGATCTAAAAATCTCAACTGTTCAGAAGGTTCTGAGTCAAAACAAAGGGTGATTTTTTTTCCCCCTTGTCAGCCTTCCCTCTCAGGACATTGTACTATATGCAAAATGTGTAACTGTAAGACAAACATTTTTTTCCACTGCCCTTCTCAGCCCCACGGGCCTTCAGGAAGACCTGCACTTCAAGCAGAGACCTTTTATTTCTCAACACCTACAGCTTTCATTCCATAATCAGAAGTTTTCCACTTTCATCAAAGAGACTGAAGACAGGCCATGGGAGCACTTCGTTCTCAGCAGTGCCTGGCAGGTTACAGAGCCCCCCGCTACCCACTCATTGCCTGTGCTCACCACTGGGCACGAACCCTGAGGACACTGGCTTGCTTCACTCCCACCTCAGTGACCAAACCGGATGAATGCGTGCACCCACTTCATCCAAAACCAAGCCCGACTTGGGGTCCAGGGGTTGTCAGCTTCCTCGATTGCAAAATAGGTATACTTTATACCATTCGAGTTAGCCCAAGAAAATAATTTACCTCTTGACGGCTCTTCTAGCTCCAGGATCTTTGATTTTATAGAGTCACAGGGAAGGAATATTCAGGCCAGTCCCTAGAGCCTGACCCAATTCAGGTGATGCTCTCAGCAGTCTGGGATCACTGCAATTGTGGCAGTGGTAATAATCCAAGCTGGGCTTTGGATACAGGACATTTCCTTACCAGGATCTGGGATTTCTGCTGGCTCTCATAAATACACTGCAGCCAAAAATGAGCAAGAAAGGCAGAGGAGGGCGGGCACTACAGAGAATTGGGTACTTCCGAATTAAGTTTTCAAAGAGCTACCTCTGGAGGCACCAGCTATGCAGTGATTCATATTTTAAATGGAGTGTTGAAATGGAGATCCTTAGTAACCGCAGATGTGACAGCTCTGTCCCCCAGAGAATCTATCTCTTATAGCTGTCCAAATTCTAGACTCAGCCCCAAGGGACACTGGGAATGTTTAACCAAGATGGGCTAATGCCTTTGCCAAGTCTATCCCCATTCATGAGTTCCCTTTCTAGACTATCTGATGTGATGCCTATGTCAAGGTATTGGGGGGAAAAAGGAAGGGCATTGGACCTGCACAAGGACCCAAGGTCAATAGCAGGTAGGGCTGAGCCCAGACCTCAAGTTTTCTGCCTTCAAGCACGGTGATGATTGAATGCTTTAGCGTGGGCGGGGGGCGGCCACACAGGTAGGGCTCTGCACCCAGGTGATTTCACCGATCAACATTTGCCACTTCGGTTGAGACCGTTTGCATGCTCTCTGATCCTCAATTTTCCCATCTGTAAAAAGGAAATCATAGCTGCATCAGAGGGCAGAGATGAGGATGGAGTAAGGCAATGTGTAGAGTACTTCTGGCACAAGAGCACTGTGCCTGAGACAGTAGAGGCTCAGCTGTAGCAGGCACACACACACACACACACCACACAATATGCACCACACACCACGTGTGCACACCACAAGTGCACGTCACGCACAGACCACACGCCCAGCGCCGCGCACACACACAGCACCCAGAACACGCCCCACACCATCTACACTGGGGCGCCTCCCCACCCCCACCCCCCAGTCCCTTCCCCTTTCTGTGATTTTTTTTTTTTTTTTTTGCAATTCCAGGTTTATCGGCAAGCTTGACACGTCCCAATCCAGTCGGCAGCAATTTTTGTTTAAAAGATCAGTGTGTCCAGATTCCTGCTCTCTTTGAATTTACCCCCACTTTTCACACTGCCAAGGTCTTGTCCCCTTTAGATAAATCTCCACACTTATGGGTCCTTCCTCCCCAGATATCCGGCAGCATTTCCAGTTTTCAGGAGAAGCTGATAGGGTCAAAGGGAACCCTTTGGAGTCAGTAGACTCCGGTCCAAGGATTCCAGCTTCTCCATGGCCCCGCAGAGAGACATTTTCTGCTGAGCTCTTCTGAGCTGCAGGCCTCACCAAAGAGAGTGTGCAGCTTCTCAAGCAGGAAGACGTTTTGTGGCTGAGTCTAAATGAAACAGAAGTTGCTTTGTGCACACACACAGGCGCACACACACACACACACACACACACACACACACACACACACCGGAGTAGGGAAACCGTCATTTTCCTACTCGCCCTCTGACATCAACAACCTTCTCTGTCGCTACAGTTTCTCTGCACTCAAATTCATCCCTGGTAATGAAAAATGAGCCTCTCCCCTACCCCTGCTGCTGCCTTTCGCCTCACGCCCCCAGAGAAGAGTTTCTTCGTGTGGCAGCCGGTGAAGGTTTTTTTCCAAGTCACATGATCCAGGATGCAGGGGAAGAATCCTTCTTGGAACAGAGATGGGCCCAGAACCGAATGAGATGAGGAGAGATAGGGTGTGCTGTGGGAAGACTATATAAGAATGGACCCACGGCTGCAGCAAGCACTCAACCGAGTGGCCCCTTCTCAAGACACAGCCATGCATGTGCCAGAGGGCTCCGTCGCCAGCCACTTGGGAACCACAAGCCGTGGTTATTTCTATTTCACCACGACCGCGCTGGCTCTGTGTCTCATCTTTGCTGTGGCAACCATCATGGTGTTGGTAGTTCAGAAGACGGTAAGTGGACTTCTCTTCATCCCCTTTCCTTTCTGATTTATGTCCGGTTTTCCCCAGAGAGACAGCCTTGAGGATAAAGTAATATATTAGTTGAGAAGAAAAAAAAGAAAAGTATATTTATAGTGTAGAAAGAGGGAGAAAAGAAACAGGAACTTAACTCTCGGAAACAATTTGGCTTTTAAGAGAAAATGTGTTCAGCCATCAGCTCAAAACTTTCCAGACTTGTATGGGCCCTAAAGAAGAGAGAGGAGCTATTAGCATTAAGAAATTAAGATTTAAATTTTGCTGGGCCAGAGATGTATCAAAGAAGGAAGCGATAAGGAAATCTGATAACAGATTTGCGCAACTTGTTACCATGTCTTCAAGGTCTTCGGACCCAATTGTAAGGTTCTATATTCTCAGTACAAATGTTCCTGAGATCTCTGGGGCCTCCTCCATTGCCAAGAGCTTTCTCAACAGGGAGCTAAGTTTCAGAAGCCAAGGTGCAAAGGGGAAGGAGCAAGACAGAAACCAGGCTTAGCTCCTCAGAGCTAATTAAAGCCCACAAGACAAGTTCAAAGCCAGCTCCCGAGCCACTGCTTGGAAGGCCTTAGGATGTCTCAAAACACATAGAGCAGAGGTACAGAATATAAGAATGTTCTTAACACCTGTTCCCTCTGAGACTGCTCTGAATACTAAAACTACAAGCAATTATGGGTACCCACTGTAGAGGCAAACTGCCTCAAGAAACTTACTTTCTTTGGAGGAAATGGTAATATTTGTTGTAAAAACAGAAGAGACCAAGGAGGACACTTCTTCCCATTTTAGGAAATTGGTGTTTACAGACAGTCCGCTAGTGTGTGGTTGGTAGAAAATACCGTATTGATGGTATATGTTGCTCACGAATTTTTTTGATCAAGTGAAGTTTTGGTCAATTTTGATAATTTGAAACCCAATCCCTCTATACACCCTGCCAGAGTGAGAATGTTTCTACTTCCTTCATAGCTCCTATTTTTCAGGACAATCCTGTGGAATGTGTTCTGGTTTTCCTTCAGTTGTCTTAGGCTGAACTTTCTATAGCTTATAGATTGATGAAAAGAACTAAGCTTTAAAAGATTTCCGTATCTGTTTCTCAAATGTCATCAGTTTTCAAGTTTAAATGAAGCTTTGAGGCTCATCTCTCCATAAAGGTGAAAGAAAAGAGAATTGCCAACACTTGATTCAAATAGTAGAATTTAAGAATAACACTCTTGAAAATATTCTAGGGCATTTTTAAAATAAAAGCTATATAATTTCTGTAATTCTAACTTGAGGTAAACCAGAAGTGTAACATTTTATAGCAAGGGCCAAAAACAGAAAAGAAAGAAAAAAGAAACTGAAGTGGCCTTTAAGAAGTTTTTAGTTAAATGTTGCAGCTAGAACTGCTAAAAAGGAGGGAAGGAAGGAAGGGAGGAAAGTAGGAAGGAAGGTAGGTATTGGAGGTGATGGGGATATATAAAGCTGGAGAGAGTTCTTAAAGGGTCCTTATTCAAGTCCATTCTTTCTAGGAAGGAACTAGAGCAGATCTTTCTGCCCCATTTTTGTGTATGTGGAAAATCAGGAACAGAAAGGAGACAGGTCTTGCACTAAGCCATCCTGAGAAAGTAATAGAATCAAGATTGTGCTTGATTGTTTAATGAGACCAGCATTCCTTTGGCCAATACAGTCAATCACAAAAGCACTAAAAAACTTTGTTCCTGCTCTTCTCTTGAGAGCTTTATCTCCTTGTGTTTCCATTTTCTTGGCTTACTCCTCATATTAGGATATGAAAAGATTCACTTCACAGTCTGATTTGTATGGTGTGGTGTGCTGTAGTTTTGTAGCCTGGGGAACATCAGTTACTTGCTTAAAAGCTAAGGCTTACAATACTAATTGTGACATTAAGTTTTAAGTGTTTTGAGCATATCATTTCCAATAAATTACTCAGACATTAACTCTTGCAAGAGCTAAGGAAAGTAGCACTTTGAGTTATCAAGGAAGGCTTCCTGCAGGAAGAGGGAATAGGGCTGACTTTAGGAAAGGTAGAACTTAGATAAACAGAGATTCTAATAGGACCCTTGGTAAAGAAATCAATGGGAGAGGCTCAAGAAAAACTCACATCCCAATTATCAAAAAGTGGAATGAGTTGATGGTTATGTAGCCTTCTGTGTGAGGTTGGATGGGGGCAGGGATGGAGTACCATGAGAATGGTTTTACTGGCCTAGAAAGTCACAGTTCTAGGTAAGAAGCACATGAACAGACAAAATTTAAAACAAGATAAGTCATAATACGTAATAAGTGTTGGAAGATGGCCACATAGTGTTTCCATGACACCACAAATTAAGGAGACAAAGTGTTTTCCCAGGTTTAAGAAAAACTGCATTGGAGATTGGAGTTCCAGACTGGCTTAAGAAACTTAAAGCTGATGGGGTGGGGGGAGGCAAAGGGGGGTGATGGGCATGGAGGAGGGCACTTGTGGGGATGAGCACTGGGTGTTATATGGAAACCAACTTGACAATAAACTATTTTAAAAAAGAAGAAATGTAAAGCTGGTGAGGAAGAGGATATGGAAGAGAGGGCACTCCTGGCTAATGGAATAGCGTGAACAAAGTGTTGGAGAAGGGAAAACCCAGGGCATATAGGAAAACTAACAAAGATTGCCTTAAGATTTAGACTGAAGATCAAATAACTCCAAGGTCAAACTCCTTGGGAGAGACATAGAAGGAACTTAGGTTTCAATCTCAAATATTTATTGGGCATCATCTATATGCAGGACATTGTTCTAAGCAGCGGGGATATAGCTTGAACAAAGCCAACAAAACTTGTTTTTGTGTTGCATGTGCAATTTACCATCTACTAATGTCTTTAGAGTCCCTGCGATGGCCTTTCTTAATCTACCTTTAAGCCAGTGTATTTATTTTCAGATATTATATTCCTATGGCTTAAGAAAAGTAAACAGTTATGTGGAAACCAACTTGACAATAAACTATTAAAAAAACAAGAAAAGTAAAGTAAACAGTACATAAGGGAATAGAAATTAAAACTCACTCACACCCTGCCCACCCCACCACTGATCCCTCTTTCCTAAGATAATTACCATTAACAGACTCTTCCATGTCCTTCCAAAACTATGTGCATCTGTAAATGTACCACATGTCATTATAGTAGACTCATGATTTTGCACTGTGTTTTATTGGTTTGACAGTCTATCTGGAGATCACTCCATGCCAATACATGAAAGTCTGTCTTATTCTTTGGGAGAGTCACATGGTATTCTATTGTATGACTCCTTTGTAATTTATTTTATCTCTGTCTAGTGAGGGACACTTATGTTTTTCTTTAGAAGTGTTACCGACCGCACACGTCCTTAAGTATATCTGTTGGATAAATTCCTAGTGACGAGAATAGAATGTGTATTTTTCACTTCAGTAGATATTGTCAATCAGCCTCAAAAGACATTGTATCAATATACTCTTGAGGAAGTAAAAGTCCTACCAACAAAGAGACACCTATTGACATCCATATGGAAAGACAGAAAACTGATTTGTAACATTTTTTTTAACATTTATCAATTTTCGAGAGACAGAGTATGACTGGGAGAGAGGCAGAGAGAGAGGGAGACACGGTTTCCAAAGCAGGCTCCAGGCTCTGAGCTCTCAGCACAGAGCCTGAAGTGGAGCTCGAACTTGAGGACCACGAGGTCATGACCTGAGCCGAAGTTGAAAGCTTAACAGACTGAGCCACCCAGGCGCCCCGAAAATGGATTCATTATTAGTAAACACAACAGAGTACATGCATATGTCAGGATGAACTATTACACAATTTATATAGCAAAACAAATGAAAAAAAAAACAATAAAATTTATCTTATCCCCTCCAGAGACAAAAGGTTATATAAGGAGATAGGCTGTACAGTTGACAGTTAGAGGTGTCATTTGGAAAAGCTCTGAAGTCTTCAATCTAAGGCCATCTCTATAAACCTAGAGACTGGACTTACCCAGTCCCTGAAGAGATTTATTTACATTCCAAAAGGTTAGAACAAGGGCTCAGGATTATTAGGTTTTTAAGGAGACTCTTTCTGGAAAGAAGAGAAAGCAGCTGCCTCCTTTCCCTTTATAGGTAAAGATACTTTCTTTTTTTTTTTTTTAATCTTTCTTAAATGTTTTTATTTAATTTTGAAAGAGAGAGAGAGAGAACATCTGTGGGGGAGGAACAAAGAGACAGAGGGAGAGACAGAATCTGAAGCAGGCTTCAGGCTCTGAGCTGTCAGCATAGAGCCTGATGTGGGGCTCAAACTCGTGAACTGAGAGATCTGAGAACTGAGATCTGAGCTGAAGTCGGATGCTTAACCGACTGAACCATTCAGGTGCCCCATTTCTTTTCTTTTTTTTTTTTTTTTTTAATGTATCTTTCCAATGTCACTTTGCCTGCCTACCAAGAGTGGACTGAGCATCTGGTTAGGAGTAGTGAGTGCTGGTGACAGTGGTATGGTTTTTTGGTTTGCTTTTATGTTCAGATACAATATAAGGGTGAGTTGAAATGACCCATGATGCTTGTCTCTACCCCTGGTACTCTCCCCAATGCATTCAATTCATCAATTTTAAAAAATCCACTGGAAGACTTCTCAGGGGCAAGCCCTGTGCTAGGGTTGAGTGGGGGAGGACCCAAGTGGACAGGGGAGGACCCCAGTTTCCTCAGAGTTCTCTAAGTGAGGCCCAAACACCCAAGAGCTTGAGTTCAGGGCAGAATGGCACAGAAGGCCATACATAGGAGGAGAGGAAGAGTTTCTGCTTAGGATGAGGGCACGGCCCACAGAAGAACGGAAGCTGAGCCTCCTCATCACCCATATAACCTTTCACCTAAATTGGCCATGTTAACATTTTGCCCTATTTGTGCTTTTTTATATGTAAGATGCAGACAGTGTGGCCTTTTACCTGCATATGCCTCAGCACCTATCTCTTCCTTACTGCAATGCCACTATCACAGCCAAGAGAGTCAATGTCA